TTTGGAACAATTCCGTTCTCAAGTACATTTCAGTAACGGCGATATCCACACAGCAAGCCTCCAAACCACGCTCGCCTTTCCCTCAACGACGGTGAGCTGCAGAATGTAATGCACGCCCTGTCAAGACGCGTGGCACAAGATCTGCATCGACAGGACAAGCAGCAACAACGTCTGTCGCCCCCTTCACGTGAACGAGGTATTCAACGACAGCCCCGAATTCCGCCGGCTATCTTCGACCTGATTCCGATTCATAACGGTCTGACCGTGTGCCTTCGGTATTTGTCTGCACTGGGGTGCCCTTTGGGGGCTTCAACACGCTGTGTGTATGGCGCTCGGGCCCACGCCATTCCTGATACATTGGACGCTCGAGTCAAAGGACACATAATTCAACACATGGGTGGACTAAATGAGCGTTTCTCTCATCTCTGAAGCCGCCCAAGCAGCCCTGGACTACGACTGCATGGGCCAAGTCCGGTCCCACATGCTGCATTATACGAGTCCAATCTTCAAGTATTAGAAGAACACATTCCTCGTACAATCCCACCAGTCGGTATCTCGCTCGAGGTAGCTGCACGCGTCCGCGCGTGCTTGTCTTCCCAATTTCGCCGAGAATCCAGCCGCCTCTCAGCAACATGGCACAGAACGCTCGGAATTCAGTCGACCCTCCTCAAAGAGTCAAGTCGCGACATCGGCCAAGCCGAGCAGGAGTGTGTTACCAGATTCGCCACACAGCGGGATCTGACACTAATCGATGTCGAAAGTGGTGACGATCCCCGTCCAAACAAAGGTCTCGATCCAGCTCGACTTTTCCAGCTCTTACAAGGTTACCCGTTGGTTGGTTTGCTATCGTCAATTGTTTGAGACGGAATCCGTCCGGTATGGACATCGAGCCAACCAGTGCGGCGGGCACCGCCTAAAAACCACAATTCGGCACGACAATTTCAGCCTGCACTACTCAAGAGCATCCGCGATGGCCAAGCTCAAGGCAAAATTCTTGTGGTGAATCTATCCATGCTAAACCTCTGAGGTAGCATTCAATGTAGTCCTTTCGGTGCTGTAGAGAAAAAGGATATTGACCCGCAGGTCGAGGTTCGCCCAATCCATGACCTCTCGTTCCCTGAGGCGTCCTCTACCAACGACTACTTCGATTCTGACAGCACTCCGGACATCGCATACACCAGTGTGACTGTCCTCGCACGACGAATTGAGGCTCTAGCTCTAGCTCATCCTGGTATTGTGATCAAGATGCTGAAGGGTGACGTCAAGTCAGCTTTCCGTCATCTCATGCTTCATGCATCACACGTTCGCTGGAT